TGAGTTCTTGATGTGTAAGACTGGTAGTGCTTCGTGATCCAGGACGTGGCCCCAACCCTCGAAATATCAGGCAGCAATACCACGGCGAACAATTCTCGATACACAGGTTTGTGTGCAGGGCATCACCACACGAAAGCAATTGCAGACCAAAAAAACGCGCTCTTTCGCTTTTTCTATTCGCGGGACCGCCTTTTCATCGGCCAACTCGCCTTGCTCTACCGATGGGCTCTTCTCGCCCACGCCCATTCCGCGGCTCCCGCCCGCCGCCGCCCAAACCCAGGGGTTCAACTGCGCCCCCCTAAGGCAGTATACCATCACCGACCAGTTTCCCATGTACATTTCCCAGCCCGGAAGAAAGACTTGTATAGATAGTATCCTGCCGCACGATACAGAGGGACGGACAGTACCAAGCCGGAGTGAGAAAAAAGTATAAGTAAAAAAAAGAAAAGTGTCCGACATTGAGAACGATGGTACAGACACGGCGAAGGCTTATGTGCAGAGGGTATAATAAAGACAGACAAAGAGAGAGAAAAAAGTTATGTAGCAGACATTAGAGAGTGAGTGTGAGTGAGTCGATCCCAAGTTGATGCGCTGAGCGCAGGTCTTGTGGCCCAGTCATATGCGTAGAGTATCGGGACAGGAGAAGGAGATGCCGACGGGTGGTTGGTGCAACAGGTGTCGAATGTGTGTGTGGATGAAGAAAGGGTGGCTAACGGGCAAAGTAGACGACCTATCCTTGGCTCTGTTGCCGCAGAGACACAGGCCCCTGGAAGCCGCTCGGCGAGGAGCCCGGGTGCACAGGGTCCATCTCCAGCCCCTGAGAGTTTCGCCGCGCACGGTGCCTGCGGTGAGTGCCTAGCCGCTGGTCGCCCTGCTGGTACTTGCTCTTGAAGCGATAGTACGTCGGCGGGCGCGGGCGGCACAGTACGGCCATGAGATTCCGCAGAATGCTGCCCTGGCTGAACGCGCGGTAGCGCTCCGACTTGGGGAACTTGTGCGAGTTGATGTACTCCCGCGTGGTCTCCCCCCGCGCCATGAGGAACAGATGGTATCCCATGAGCGCGGCGGGGTAGAGGAGCTCCACGAAGGCGAGGATGGCGAGGGCAAAGGGGACGCGGAAGTGATCAATGGCGCTCTGGAACGAGACGTTCTCCCGCGTCATGTGCAACAGGACCTGGGCCAAGCTCGTGGCGATGAGGTACGCTGCGAGGAGAGTTGCCGTTGAGACAAAGGCAAAGAAATATCGATAGTTGCGCTTGCCAACACAGTTATTGAGCCAGACGCAGTGGTGGTCGTGTGTCTCAATGCAGTTGTCGCAGAGACGGCAGTGATGCGCACGGGGCGGCCGCCAGATGTTGCACGTGCGGCAATGCTTGACGGGGACCTCCATAGCCGCTGCGCTGGCCTCGGCTGACTTTATCAGGGTCCAGTCGTTGGTTGGAGGGCCTACGCGCAGAGGGTCATCATGCTCGAAGACGGGAGGGAATTGATGGAGATTGCGAGGCAGGATCTGGAGCGAGCGTCAGTCTTTGGCGAACATGAACGATTCGCTGGTAGAACTTACCCCTGGATCTGAAACAGACGCATGGACAAAGGACGAGACGCAGATATACGCGATATAGGCGAATACAATGGGAATCGCCGGCGAGATGTTGTCCCACAGCCACGGGGCCTCGAAGACGAAGAAGAGCACGCATGGTACGACAACAAACAGACCCGTCGCGATATTGATCGGCTTGTCTTTTGTGTTTTGCCAGCGACCACCCAAGCAAAAGATGGTGTTGCCATCAAAGAACTGGTGCACGCGGCCCGCGCCTGTCGCACCTGTCGGGGTCGGCGGGGGTCGGGATTTTGGCATACTGTGCGAGTCCATGGGTCGCAATCGCGGAGACGAATTCACAGAAGACAACTTCTCGGCACCCTCTGTGCTTCGGTTCCGGCTTGTTGGTCCCTGGTCGCTCCTCCCTGGTAGTAGGAAGCTCGAGCGGAACGAGCGTGGCGTCCGAAGGGGACTCGGCATGTGCCCACGATCCTTGGAGCTCTTGTTCGCGTCGAGAGTCGGGTGACTGCGGGCCTCTTGCCTTCCCCGCAGCGGCTGGACACTATCAGACAAGCTGCCGGTCGGGTAGTGTCCCTGAGACGGGCTCGTGTTGCCGATGGTGCGCTCGAAATTCTCGTGCTCCGTGGCCTCCGTGCCCCGAGACGGCAGTCGCGCGTTGTCGCCGCTGACTCTTCCTGTCTGCGCCCCGATGTTGGGGGCGCCGACGTCCCGGTTAACGACGCTGCCGCCAAGATCCGTCGCTGCATCGTCGAGATCGGCGAACGGCTGTTGTGACGGCTGTGCCTGTTGCGACGTGGTCGGCGGGCGCGCAACATTTGCTCGATGCGCTTGGAGCTTCTGAGAGCTCATCGGCCGAAAAAAGGCGTTTGACGTGAGGGACGGGACATGACTTCGGGACGTGAGGCTTGGCCGTCGAGAAGGTGTGGCCGCTGCCGACCCTGCGACGCTCGTCTTCTTGCCGACGGGGCCGGATGAGTATCCCTTGCGACCGGCAGAAGCCGGCCAGGGCGCTCGCGCGGAATTTGTTGTTTTGGCCGTCTCGGGTCGGGAGGTATGCTCGATATTCTTAGATTGCCTAGTGGTAGGGTCGCGGGCCTTTGCTTCGCCGCCGTCGTCGCTCGCTATATCCGTCATGCGCGAGGAGACCACGCTCGCCGGCCGCGACGGTCGCTTCGCCGCCGACTGGTCCTCGTTGGCGCTGGGCGCCGCCGGGGGATCACCCGAGTCGGGCATGATGTCAGTCTAGTGTCGGAAAGTGATTCTGTCGCGCTATGACATAGCCGTTACCAAAGTGTGCTGCCGTAGGGCGTCGGAGGTCGGGGGTTCGGCGGGGCGCTCGCGGTAATGAGTATAGATGGACGGCAGCCGGGGCACAGGGACGGCACGTTTTCAGTGGAACAGGTCGGTTCGAGAAGACAAGGTGGGCGAGTCTCGCGGCGTGCCGATATTAAAAGGAGTTGTGGGGGGACAAGAAACGGTAGTCGAAGCAGTCGCGGGAGGCGCAGGACTGTGAGACGAGGTTGGCAGACAAGTCGAGAAAATGGAGTCGTATGACGAAAAAGGAGTGACAGCAGCGGATTCGGGGGCCGGGGCGTTTGGGCAACAAGTCGGGAAACGGGGAACAGGGTCAGGATTAAGAATCAGGATCAAGAAGAGGAGCGAAGGGGAAGAAGGCGGGAGAGACAAGATGGCGACGGCGGCGACGGCGATGGAGATGGCGTCCAAACAAAACGAGTGAGAGATTGTGCGAGCGGTCGTTTCTTTTTCCTCCGCTTCGCGGTCCGGGCGCCGCTGCGACGGGATCCTTGTCTTGGGCTGTGGGCTGCCTGGGCTGGTGGACGAGGACTGAGGTTGCGTTGTGGGGGGGACGATGGTGATAGGCAGGAACAGGCAGACAGGCGGGCAGGCAGGGTCGCTTGCTCAGGCTGAGGTGAGGTGAGGGTGCCGTGGGCGCCCCATCCATGTAAGGGGCGCGCTGCCGCGTGCTGACCAGTACCGAGCCGAGCAGGGCGCCCGCGTAATTAGAGCCAGGCGGCGCCGCCCGCCAAATTTGCTGCTGGGGGGCTTGGGGTTGGCTGTGCTTGGGCTGGCTGGGCGGGTGGTGGGTGCCAATAAGCGACGTCAATGCGGACGAGACTGGATGATGCAAATGCGTCGTCGATGAAGCTATCGAGGACGGCGCGTTTCGCCTGCGTCAAGGCGTGCAAGGCGCACGAGTTGCTTGTGTAACCTGGCCTGCCTCCTACGCAGACCTGAGTAGCCCCCAGCAGGGCGTTTTACCACTCACAAAGTACAGCAACGCAGGCGCCAATCACCGCAAGAGTCGCAAACGACGCGCCCGCCCGTCGGCGGGACAATACACAAAACGGCACAGCATCCTCGCCGATGCATCCGTCCTCATTCTGACAAGATCCGCCTGTCTTGCTTTCATGTAGTCAAAATATGATGCTGCGTCAGTGCGCCGCGCGCGGGTGCATCACCACAACGCGATGACGCCGGGCACGCACAGCGACCACCTCGTCCCGGGGTCGGGATGCGCCTTCCGGTTTCCATCCTGCCCCACCTCCAGTTGGTTCCAACCTGCCCGAGCTGCCTCAGTCACCAAGTCGTCATAGCCCATGCCGCACTCCTCGGAGCCCAGCTCCATCACGTGATGGCAGCTCAGCAACCCCCATTGGCCAATCACCGGCCCGCCAGCCCCGACCGCTGAAATCATGCGACTTCAAACCTGCGGCGAGAGCTCCCGCAAATCCACCTCCACCCATCGTCAACGACAAGCTTTCCTGCAGTTCGTCACCACAAACCTCGCCCACAATGGCTTCCGTCATCTCCCGCCGCCTGTTTTCCACCTCTGCGCGCCGCTTCCAGGAGCACACCCAGCAGGAGCTCCGCAAGGAGAGCCGGCGCAACCCCGAGATTATGGTGCGTCATAACCCCGTGCTCCCTCGGCTAACCGGGTTTCCCTTCTCTGCGCCTGTCCCGGCGTCCGCGATGGACGCACAGACTGACATTGACGGCGCAGATTCTCGGTGGTGTCATGGTCGCTGCTCTCGGCGGCGCCGGCTTCTACTTTGGTATGTTCCCGCGGCCCCGAAAACCACTCCTTCGAAACCCAATGGACGGACTCTCGAGAGCACATCCCGAGGGCTGACCTTTTCCGCTTCTCAGGCCGCTCGCCCACCCACTCCACGTCCGAGGCTCCCGTCAAGATCGCCCAGGGCGGCATGCCGTGGGAGAGCGACGCCCAGGGCAAGTACAAGTACCACCCTGGCGGCGACCCCAACGCCGAGCCCCGGGACGCCCCCAGCGCCCTCAACGTCGTCGTCGTTCCCAACGTCACCCTCCCCAAGGAGCTGCACGACAAGTACAACAAGTGGGGCAAGGACGGCTACCCTTAAGCTCCCTAGTCATGCCTGCTGCTGAGCCGGACGTGCAAGCAGGATGCGGATGTTGAAGAACCACTTATACGATAGACACGCGGGAATGGGCGGGACATGAAGGAGGAGGAAGAGGAGGAAGGGACGGCAGGTCGCTTGCCCGTGTAGATGTACTGTTACAGCTTGAGCTCGAACATCGGTCCATGTTTGATCTGCGACGCTGGAGCCAAACAAAAAAGAATACGACGTTTCTCTTTGTCACATTGGGCCTTGGCGGCGGTGATGATCAGAATGTTGGCGACGAGCCGAGACATTACGGATAGAATCATAAGAGTACTAGCCTACGCCATGCTATTCTGTCCATGCGCGGGCGCACCGTGCCCGTCTTCAGCCGCCACAGCACGAGCCGTGCTTCGCTGGCCGGCTTCCCGCATCAACCTTCCTAACCGGGCCAAACAACCTTCATGGCCACCTCACACGGCCGACACTCGTGAAAAAAAAAACTCCTTGTGCACCCAGACACATAGTCCACCCACGAAACTCGATTCCCGCTGCGCAAGATGCATTTCAGACGCACAACGCACACCCCCGCCTCTGCCTCTATCGCCCGTCTACTTGGCCAGCATCTCAACCTCCTCGCTCGTGAAGCCAAACAGGAACAGCAGATCCAGCAGGCTCTCCCCGTTGAGCCGTGCGTCCGCCTCCATCTGCACCCGCGGCTTCGCGTTCCAGGCGACGCCCAGGCCGGCCTTTTCCAGCATGAGGAGGTCGTTGGCGCCGTCACCCACGGCCACGACCTGCGCGAGGTCAATGCCCTCCTTTGCGGCGATCTCGACGAGCAGGTCGCGCTTGCGCTCCTTGCCGACGATGGTGCCCCTGGTCTCGCCCGTCAGCTTGCCGTCTGCGATGACCACCTCGTTGGCGTGGGCGTAATCGATGCCCAGCTCCCCGGCGAGCCAACTCGTCAACGGCTGGAAGCCGCCAGAGAGGACGGCCGTCTTGACGCCGAGCCGTCGCAGGGCCTTGATGAGCTGCCGCACGCCCTTGGTAACGTCCAGGACCGGTCTTAGGTCCTCGAACACGGCCGCATCGACACCCTTGAGCAGCGCGACGCGCTCCCTGAACGAGGCATCGAACTCCAGCTCGCCGAGCATGGCGCGATGCGTAATCTCGGCCACGCGCGCCGCCAGGTTAGGGGGGTCCTTGATGGTGTCAGCCATGAGCTCAATCACCTCCTGAGTGATGAGCGTGCTGTCCATGTCGAAGACTACAAGGCGCGGGTGCCGCCTCCAGACCAGGTCCCGCTGCAGGGCCACGTCCACGTTCCACTCCTGCTCGAAGCGGTATATCATCTCGTGCTTCCGCAGGTCGGACAGCGCCAGATACTTTGGCGACGGGGCGGGCGTGAGGGTCAGCTCGACGACGCGCGGGTTGTCCGAGTTGTCCAGGCAGCGATGCGACGAGTGCGGCGGCTCGGCGCCCTGCGGCTGGGGGAACGTGGACATGAGGTGGAGGAAGGAGGTGATGCACAGCGGCGAGATGTACGAGCCGTAGAGGTGGTCGAGCTGCTCGGACTCGTGCGTGGGCGGCTCGAGCGGGAAGGCGTCCATGTTCGTGGTCGGCGCCATGTTGGCCGGGAGCGACTCGTTGCTGTCCGAAAGAGCGCCGCCGGTGCCGCCTCTTGCCCCCGTCGCGGCCGTCAACGGCGACCCCCTGTCGGCCGACTTGTAGAAGAGCGTCGCAACAAGGCGGTCCGTGGACCGGCCGCCGGCGGGCGCGCAGTTGGGGTGCGAGAAGCTGTGGCTCACGCCGCTGTCCACTATCGTCGGGGGGTTGTCCTCGGAGGGGATGCCGTTGAAGGGCATGATGGGCCGCGCCGTCGGCGACCCTCGGTGCGGGCTGACGGCGGCCGGGCTAATGTCCTCGACGACGGTGTCGATGCCATGATGCGGCTCGGGCTGGCGCGGCGGCCGGTACTGCTGGTGGTCGCTCAGGTACGAGCTGCTGCGCATCGTCGTCGTGAGCTGCGGCCGCGCACCGGCAGCGCTCTGCTTCGGGGGGCTCGCGGCGGCGTCGGCCATGGTTGCGCTACGTGGGGTTTGCTGGCCCGGTGTTTGCGCTGCAGCTCGGGAGCGAGATGATTCTTTTCGGGGCGACAGCGATTCCCCGCGGGCTGACGGGGGCGGATTGCTGTTGGGAGGAGGTGATAAGCGAGCGCGCGACCCTGGCTCGTCCCAATCCGTCTGATGTCACGGGCAGAGCGGTCTGCGGCCTGACTGGTCTCTCTCTCTCTCTCGCGCGCAGCGTCGGCCCTCGAAAACGATTGCGGAGGGGAAAAGAGTCTCCCGTGAGCGCGACCGTCCGTTCGGCAGCGCGGCCCCTTTGGATCGTGACGCCGAGTTTCGAGTCGAATCCGATGGTTCCAATCTGGCGGCGGCTGTGGCGGGCCGAGCTTCGGCGAAAGGCACGAAATTTCGCACGCAAAATGTATGAGTACTTCGTCGAGCACCTGCATCAAGGGCGCTGCAGCGGGCGGCGGCCCTATTGCAGGTGGTGGGCCAGGGCCGCGCGACGCGCCCGATTGCCCCGCCGGCCGTTGGAGGTTGGGTGACCTGGAGAGCCTCCCGGAGCAAATTGGGCGGCTGGCGTGGGCCCTGTCGGGGTCCAAACAGGGCACCTCCTTGGCCGCTTGGGGGGGAAACGACACCCACTGAATGTATCGGAGCAGCGCCGTTGCGCATCGACGGACCCTGGCCGGCCTGTCAGGGGCACCCCTTGGCGTTCTCAGGCAGGTTTGGCAGGCGCCCGGCTTGCTCGACCAGAGGCACCCTAGAGGTCGTCGGGGCTCCACAGGCGGCGGTCGGCCACTGGCTCAGGCAGAATGGCGTCATTTTCCTTGCTGGCCGCTACCTTAATTACCGGGCGCCTCAACTCCCTCCACTGTATCCGTAATGATAGGCCCGCGGGACGTGCCAGTGCATCGTTGGTACGGGCACTTGATGTCTAACAACGGCATCATGTTTGTTGCGGCGTCTCGCTTATTACCATAGCCCTCGGCTGCTGTAATGAATGTCGTCAGGAACGTGAGTGGGATGCAAGCCAATTCTGGGCGGGTTGAGTGAATCGCAATCACACGACGTAATCGTTCAATTCCCTGTTTGGCGTGCGTGGCCGGTATTAAGCCTCCGGTCCGGGCCCGGGATGGCGACGGGACGGGAAAAAACACCACAAACTCTGCACGCATTTCCATCCCGGGCCACAGGTACGGCCTCTGACCCGCGGCGCACCCACAATGGAAGGTTGTGGCGGCGACGAGAAGGAACAGAAAATCTACAGTGCTTATTCACCCGCTTCCTCGGAAGCGCTACTGCTGCACGTCACGAGCCTCATGCCCTGGAGAGGCGCGGGCTGACGGCAACTCCCCCCCGGCGCTCGGGAGCCCGGACCCTCGCCGATTGCCGCCCGCGCCGATGGCCCGACAAGGGCGCTGTCGCATCAGAGCCTCGTCAACACAGTCGCTGCACGCCCATGTCGCGAAGCTTGCTACAGTACAACGATGCCATCCGGGAAGGTCCGGTGATTAAGTAGACTGCGAGGATGCTTCTGCTGCGTCTTGTCGGGGTGTCATTGAGGCCGGTTTTCGATGGGAGGTGGAAGGATCCGGTGTTAGATGGACGGCTTTCACGGCATGGCCGGGGCTCTGCGGGACCTCGCGTCGCCTCCGCCGGCGGCCCTGAGAGTCGGGACGCTCGCCAGCCGTCGAAATATGCCTCGTCTTGGGGTCGCCATGTTTCGCCCGCGATCCAGGACGTGACACGAGAGCTCGATGCCAGCTTGGGAGCCCCCAGATTCCGTGTGAACCGCCCGCTGGTTGACCCGATCGCCCATAGGGTTTCCTGTCGGCGCTCGCACACCATCGCTGATGATCTCATAGACCGGAGCGGGAGGGGAGGCCGTCCATTTCTAATCCAGCGACTTACTGTACTGTAAGTTACTCACTGCACAACACCAGCGCCATAGGCAGTAATACCCACAGCACCATGCCCCGTTTCCGCGAGCAGCGTCCATCACGCAAGACCCCCGAGGCGCCGACAAGCCGTGGGAGAAAAAACCACACTGCAAGGTTGCCGGAAACTGGGGAAAGTAGCGAATACTCGCGACCAGCCGCCACTCGCGCCCTGCGCCCCAGGTCCCCAGTTACCGAGCCTAAACACCACAGCGGAGCCGCGTCGGCCAATCACGGCGCCGCAATCCGCATCGCGGAAGGAATGGCGTCGATGTCGTGATCGCTCCCAGACGCAAACCCGGAGGCGTTTCGACGCCGCGCATTGGCGGCCAACCCAAGGCCAAGGGGGGAAAATTGCTGCCCTCGGACCATGAGCCCGCCGCTGTCGACTTGTTGCGTGCTGTCTGTATGATGCGTCTGGCCGGTTGCTGCGCACAATTAGTCAGGGCTGGCCTGGCCGTTTCCCGCCATGTCTCTGCTCTTCTCCCCCCTCAAAATGGCTGTTGCATCCGGACTTAACCTGTGTTAATCCCCTCTTCTCGATTTCAAACCAAGCCATCGTCCTGTTCCCAGCTCTGTTGCCGTCATTTAAGAAGACGAGCCGTTTCGTCCGACCCCCTCCTTCTGTATAGCCTGTCCGTGAATCAGCAGCTCGCACTTATACCGCCTGGCTGGGTCTCGTGGGATAATACCTCCTCCTGACGACCACGCACACAACTCCGGTTCTCCTGGTCGTCACCACTCCGCCCTTGTGTCAACCCCTCCCATCCAGTCGCCGCCATGAGCACCACCATGACGGAAACGACAACTCGGATCTCCTTCTCTGACGACAAGATGGACCACAACGACATCGAGTCCGGGTACGTGTCGGGCCAGTCCGACTACGCCCCCTCGCCGAAACAGGAGTCGAAGCCCAAGGTGTCCCTGACCAAGGAGCACATCGCCTACCTCAACGACCAGATGGAGAATATGCACCCCATGGACATTCTCCGCTTCTGCAAAATCATGTTCCCCAACCTCTACCAGTCGACGGCATTCGGCCTGACCGGCCTGGCCACCATGGACATGCTGTCCAAGATCCAGCAGGAGAACCCCAACTCCAAGACCGTCGACCTCATCTTCCTGGATACCTTGTACCACTTCAAGGAGACGTACGAGCTCGTCGACCGGGTCAAGGCGCGGTATCCCAACGTGCCCGTTCACATCTTCAAGCCCGACGGCGTCGACACCGTGGAGGAACTCGAGGAGACGTACGGCCAGGAGATGTGGAACACGGCCAGCGACATGTATGACTGGATCGTCAAGGTCGAGCCCCTGCAACGGGCATACGACGAACTCAAGGTGACTGCCGTCCTCAACGGCCGCCGCCGCTCGCAGGGTGCCGCCCGTGGATCCATCCCCATCATCGAACTCGATGAGGAGCGGGGCATCATCAAGATCAACCCCATGGCCGCCTGGTCCTTCAAGCAAGTCAACGACTACATCAGGGAGAACAATGTGCCGTACAACGCCCTCCTGGACCAAGGGTACAAGTCCGTCGGCGACTGGCACTCGACCAGCCCCGTCGCCGAGGGCGAGGACGAGCGTGCCGGCCGCTGGAAGGGCCAGGCCAAGACGGAGTGCGGCATCCACAACAAGAAGTCGCGATATGCCCAATTCGTCGAGGAGATGGAGAAGAAGAAGACCGCCGGCATGGTGGCGCCCGTCTAATTGATCTCGGTGCAAGCACACTCGTGCTGAGATGACGGGGACTCGAAGGGCTTTAACGACATGACGAACTTGGTGGGCATTTGCAACGGGCGTTTTCGGCGATCTTGATTCTGGTTAGCCGAGCACGGGTGAAAAGTATCTGAGCAGGCTTGTCTTTTTTTCCCATACCACATGAGATCAATCATGGCTGGCGTTGGATGGTTCAGCGATGCGGCCTGGGCCATGGAGGGCACTGGGGTTACAGCCAGGGAGAGGGCCCAGCTAGCTTAGAAAGCAGCATAGAGGAAAATAAACGCTGTAAAAGTCATCTTCGTTGAGGCCCTGGAGCCAGCGCGTTGGTGAACTGAGAAGTTGTCAAGTGACGTTGTCGTGGCTGGTCAGGAGGCCTGCATCTCACATACCCCGCGCCGAGATCTGATTTGTTCAGCCAAGATCGCGGCTTGACACCGGCCACAGCGTCAGCACACCACCCCACGATACCTCGCTAACAGCTGCGGTCCCAAAAATTTCCCCACACTCAGTCCTCCACTCACTCATCGCCCTATCGACTGAACCGCGCTGAGCCGCTTGCTTGCGAAAATCGTACCATTTCACGAGAAGCCGTCTGCGGCAGGCCACGCGCAGACCGAGAAATGCAGCGGCGCTCGCTCCCCGCGCCGGCACCCTCGTTTCGCGAGAAGAAGACAAAGATCTTGCAGCAGCTGGGCGTGCCAGACGCGGAATACTTTGACGCCTCACCCAAGGGGTCCGTTGACGAGGGCATCCGCGACTTGATTGACGAGATTAACCGCGCCGAAGGCTTCGTTACGACAAGCAGCTGTGCAGGTCGGGTCAGCGTGTTCCTTGAGGGCAGGAAGGGGGCTGCAGCGGCAAATACGGGCCCTGGCCTTGAAGTTGATAATGATGTCGTGAGAGACGACGAGCTTGTTCGGCAACCGCGACAGCGGGAACAGGTTGCTGGCGTGGGCGGGAAAGGCGCCGGTGGCACATGGCTTCATGTGTCTCATGACCCTGTCGCCTGCGACACCGATGAGAAGTTCAACGCCTGGGTCACGGGCCTGGGTTTTACGGCAGACGACGAGTCTATACCTTCAAGTAGAAGTCGCGCGAGCACGGAGCGCAGGCTGATACACTTCAAATTTGAACCCATGGTGAGCAGCACGCCCTACAAAACGTGCAAACACGCGTAGGCAGAGCTGACGCCCAACTCCCCAGATCCTCCATATCCTCACCTCCTCCCTCACCCACGCGCAGCTCATCCTTCGCGCCGCGCTGCAAGCCGGCTTCCGCGAGTCGGGCGCCATTAACATCGTGGACGCTTCGTCGGACGGTCAATCCGCGACGCCCATTGTCGCCGTCCGCTCCATGGGCCTGGGCTTCGAGTCTTTGCTCGGGTACGACGACGCTCTGGCGGGTGGGCAGTGGCAGCGGCGACGACTCGTGGACGCGGGTTACCTGCGTACGGTACTAGACATCGGCAACGAGCGCTTCTCAGAAAACGCGAAGCGCATTGCAAGGTTCCGCGAGTCGTTTAGGTTGGCTCTGCGAGACCCCGAGCCGAGGAAGAACCCTGCCGGTGGGGAGTGGGAGGACGCGGCGCAGCGAAAGGAGAGGATGCGAGCAGAGGGGCTGAAGAGGAAAGCCGAGCTCGAGGCTGCGAAGAGCCAGAAAAGCGCCGCGGAAGAAACCGATGAGTTCCCGTGATGGCCGAGGTCAACTTCGTCACCAGACACGAACTCGAACTTCTGCCAAGATCGGGCATTTCGTCCACAGCTGCCCAGAACAGGAAGCGTTTCGAAGCAGACGCTTGGTGGGCTGTGACGTCTCAAGACGCAGGACTATGTCATGCCGCTTGGTGATACGCGAAGCGTCAGGTCTCACGACGTTACGTCGTGGCAGACGCGACAATGTCCTGCGATCAGTGATACTGCTCAGACCCTCGTTAACTCTGCAAGGTCGGCGCTGCCAATTGTTGGCATGGGATAGGGGTCTAAGAGACGGTCCTGCTTAAGAAGTGGGCCGCCAGTTCGGGAGTATCGGTGTGCCATATCTGATACCAGACAGTCTCAAGCGTTCGGAGACACGAACGGAACTGCGGCTGTCTGGCGTTGTGTGGTACGTTATATTCTATGCAGTTTTTGGCCACCGTCGACGCTCTAAATGTACACATCCCGTTGGGCTTGATCCAAGCACATGCCACTTCCGCAGGCCCCTTCTCTCATGGGATCATACAAGGGTTCCACATGGCCGTCCCTCACGCAGCTTCTACGCATGCGTGCACCATCGCGTAGCGTCTCCCTCACGACGTCACCCTGTCGACCCAGCCCTTCTCCAGCTTCTTCACCTCGGCTTTGAACTTCTCCACTTCCTCCCAGCAGTCGAGCGGCCGGCGGTCGTGTTCCCGCAGGCAGCGAATAACGTCGCCGCGCGCCTTCTCCACGTCATCGGGCAGGGCGCGAACCTTCTTGCGCTCCTCGAGCTTGCGCCGCAGCTCCTCGACCTCCTTGCCCACGGTGTACCGGCTGGGCGCGTTCTCGTCCGCGGCGGCGGCGTCCTTGCTGGCGGCGAGCTTGTCGTGCGCGAGGTTCAGTGCCTCCGATTCCCGCTTCTGCAGCTTCTTGAGCTCCTCGGCGACGCGGGCCTGGATGTGCTGCTCGATGAGCCTGGCGCGCGAAGCGTCGGTCTGCGTTGCCGTCGTCATGTTAGCCGGGGATGCCAGTCGTCGGGGTAGAGTACCGCGGGCGTCGGCGTCCAAGGCCAGAAATAGAGAGCCGTACCTCGGGGCTAGTTTGCATCGACTCGAGGACGTCGAGGGAGACGCTGGGCGGCCCTGAGCTGTTTTGCCGAGGCGAGCGTGTCAGTCCAATTGCGTGTCCGTGGGTGCATGCTCGAGGGCGCCGATGGCGGCAGTGATATCGGTGACTTACGCCTTCCACTGATAGCCGCCCTGGGCGTCTTGCTTGGAGGTATTGGCACCCATTGTGTCGGGATCAATGGCTGCCTGATGCGGGCGAGGTTGGACGTTGGCGCTCGTGACGCTTCGTCGGCTCTGGAAATTTCCGGGTACAGTTCGGGACTTCTGGCGTCATTGGTGGCGGAGCCGGCGGGCGTGGACCTCGACCTGTGGCTGCCTGAGGCGATGGCGCTCTGGGCTGATACCTAGGTAGCCCACAAGCCTCAGCGTGGCTGGGGTGGCCTCATCGAAGGTGTGGCTGCGCTGCCGTGTGCCCCTCCATCTTTTTCGGGGTTGTCTGTGAACCACCTTTGGACATCAACGCTGCCAAGAAGACCATGCAAGGACGGCCCCTCCTCCATTGTCAAGGCGGGATGCAACAGTGGCTTATTGACAGACGGCCCAGCGGCACGTCATGTCGCCTTCGGCGCGAACCGTCTTTCTCGTCGCAGGCTGAACGAGCCAAGACGTCAAAGACGGGCACGATGCCCCTTGATGGCGAGGCGTAGGAGCGACATTCAATATGTCTGATACAGACTAGCGGCGCGGTACCAGATATTCGGATTGACACGACGGCGCCAGAACAAAATTGATCAATCTACGAGACAGAAGAGGCAGCTGAAGAGCACCTTGCGCACGTAACGATACATGTCTGTTCCTTTTGCGATGCGTCTTGACGGGGTCTGGCTCCCAAAGGTCTAGCCAGCCAGCCTGCCGGCATTCGGGGTGGCATGGGCCACGATGCGCGCATGTCAAGGAAATTGACGCACAGCAGGCGAAATGTGATTGTGTGCTGTAGCTGCAGGGGCCGTCGCGTGATAGAGAGCCGGCCAAGCAACAACTCCGGTTCCCCGAATGAAGGATGCTGTGGAACCAACAGCCCAAGTGATGGAGAGCCTAGCAGAGTTTGCTCGCGATAAGGAGCCTGGGAGATGCGAACTGTTGGGTTGCGCGTTTTGCAACGTCAGTTCCTCGACGGTCCGACAGAAGCGTGGCGGCCAGCATGCACTTGGTGCGGCAGCAACGAGGCCACCGACAACCTAAGTCGTAGATCTTCTCCGGCAATGCGGCTGGTGGGTGGTGGGTTGTGGGTGACGCTGAGGCAGGAACAGCAGCGTGCGATGGAACGGTTGGCGGAGCGCGAGTCGTGGAGTTCGCGGCGGCGGCAGAAGGACGACGGGGCATCTGTCCAATTGGGAGGGCGGGCCCCGATGGCCCCAGCCCGCCGCAGCCACCCGCGGGGCGTCCCTCGCAGCATGGCCAGTGGATGCAGTGGATCTCAGTGCGGCGATGCGCCCCTGACAGGGAGCCGCAGTGGCGGGTTTCAGGGGCGGCAGGGGCGGACCACTCAGGGCGCGCGGCGGCCACTCGCAGCGCGGGGGTGACCCTGGCGCTGCCGACTCTGAGGCCAGTGGCTTGCACTGATGGCGAGCTTGTTTCTCGACTCGTGCATCTGCCCCTGTCGGCGTGCCTGGGGCGAAACGACATCGGCCAGCCACTGCATCGCGGTCGTGTGTTCGCATCCGACGACATCGGGCCCGCAGCCGCAGGGGGCAGAAGGAAGTCCACGTCGCCCGCCGGCAGACACGAGCTCGACGAGTAAGTATAGCATCCCGTGGCTCGGATCGCTGCAGCACGAGCAAAAAAAGATCGAGTACGGCGTAGCGTGCGTCAAGCAAAGACACGGGAATCGGCAGCGCTCCGCCCTCGTTGGCCGCTGGGCACATAGCAAGCCTGGCAAGGGGGGGCGGACGGATGCTCCATTCGCAGAGGCTGGGCACGAGAGACATTGCGGGCCAGTGACGTTGCAGAGGCCGCTCGCCCTTGCTCCGCGGCCTCGTCGTCCTCGCACGATGCTGGTCTCACTGGCATTGGATGGACGAATGTCTCTTGGCTTGCTTGGCTTGCTTGGGTCGTCGCCATGCGGATCCTTGCTGCTCATCTTCTGCGCCACCCAGCCAGTCAGTCAGTCCGAGTCGTAGGTGAATCCACCAGGCCAGCCAACAAGGGGCCCAACACGGGAGGGCGAGTTGACGGCCAAGGGATGTTCTGGTCTCTTCATATCTGGCAGAGATCTGCTCCTTTTTCTCCAGGCCTGGCGGCGTCTGCATCTGCGTCTGTGTCTGCATCTCTCCGCGGTGAATCGACGGACGGACCGGTGGACGGACAGAGACGGTTCGGTTCGCTCTTTCCCCTTCCTCATTCTCCCACGAGGGCCCCCGTCGCACATCAACCGTCACTTGCATTCCTTTGCCTCCTCTCCACCAAAACATTTCACCGCACGGCTGGGCTCGTGGCAACAAAGAGCAAACCAAACCAAACCAAACCAAAACCAAAACCAAACAATCCCCGAATGATCGTCTTCTACCGCCGAACCCTGATTCACTGATCACCGGAGCAATCGGCTCCTGGGCGGCACCTCAAACACACAAAGGCCACACCCCCCTTGGCCCCCGCGACTGTTCAGCATCGCACGTCGTCGCGACAAGAAAGCGACGCGGCCACTTTTGTTTCCTTTCTTGAAACCTCACGTCCCGACGCCTGATAAATCGCCTCGCGCACGCCCAAACGCGCTCTCTTACGCCGACTCGCCCCATCGTTTCGCCCATCGACCACGAACGTTGCACTCTCTAGGCCACTTGCCGCCGCTATTCTCCACCGATTTCCAGCATCGGCGTTTCAAACGTTTGCTCGCACCGCTCTCGTCCGCCGCACCAACGGCCCTGTCCCGGTCAACTATCGCGCACAACAGAGTTTTTGCCCTGTCGGTGCGCCCAGAGCACGCTATCCCGGAAGGTTGCATTCTTCGGCATCGCCCGGCTACCTGCGATAAGCAGACCCAGCTGTGCAGTCAGTCCTTGTGCAGAGGTGCACGCCAGCTGCCAGCGCCATCCACAGGTCCGGTACCTCAGTGAGGGAGGTGCGCCCGCCAGCACGCGCGCCTGGCCGCCACCCACCACACCCGACGCACCTTACCCGCCAAGGCGCCACCACCCATCCCTACCTAGCTCACTGTCCAAGCCCGCCGCTTCAGGGCGTCAGGGGTGCTGCCCACCTGCCCGGTATTGTGCCTGTTCTCAATACTACCACCACACCACGCCTTCTGTCCCTTCCCTGTTATTGTCCACGCACCCGAGGACTCCCCTCGAAACATCTTCTCTCCTCCCTGTTACACACATGATGCCGTTCTGCCCGCGAGCGTAGCAGAAGCTGGGATCATCCTTTCTTTTCCCCCGACTGGCCACCCCGTGGACCTGTCACTCTTGCACTTATCATCACCACCTCGCCCTGCGGACTGGCGACCTGTCGACCAGGCGCCCTCCCCAGGATCTTTCAATACCGCTGTCTTCTCTTTGTCGCCTCATTTCAACACGACCTCCCTCGCACGCCTCCTCCCCCTCCCTCGTCGCGTTCGAACCACTTCCCTACACTGGCGCGGGATCGCCAAAGCCCGTTACACCGTCAACACCATGGATCCCACGCGGACCCTGGAAGTAAGAGCAGGCGGTGGCTCTGACAAAGAGGTACAGCCCAGTTCAACAATCGCCCCGTATCACACGGCGCTAAATGGCGTTAATCAGCCCATGAACATGTTGTTCAAGGACGTGTTGTGGTGGAGTTTGGGCATAGTCGCGCTGGTCGTGCTCTCCATCCGGATCCTGGAGATCCTGTGGGCGAAGCTTCGCCAGGTGTCGGCCATGTCGGTGCCCCGTGAGAAACAAAACTACTGGAAGACGTCGCAGTGGAACTGGATGCCCGGCATGAAGAAGCATCTCATCTACGCCCCTCTTCTGCGGAAGCGCCACAACCGCGAGCTGCGCCTGTCGTCGGCTTTGAACGTTGGCACCCTCCCCTCGCGTTTGCATTTTGTTCTGCTCTTTTTCTATCTCGGCAGCAACATCGTCTACATGTTCTTCTTGAACTGGGCCGTGGAGAACAAGTACAAGTTCTGTGCCGAGTTGCGCGGTCGCTCAGGCACCCTAGCCATCGTTAACATGGTCCCACTCATCATCATGGCAGGTCGCAACAATCCCCTGATCCCGCTGCTCAAGATCAGCTTCGATACATACAACCTCCTCCATCGCTGGATGGGCCGCATCGTCGTTGCCGAAGTCGTCATTCACACCGTCGCTTGGGCCATTCCCGCTGTCGCCGACAAGGGTTGGAAGGCGTTCGGCGCCGTTCTGAAGAGCTGGTTCATCGGCTCCGGCTTCTGGGGCGGCGCCGCCATGGTCCTGATTTTGATACTGTCTCTCTCGCCCCTCCGTCACGCCTTCTACGAAACATTTCTCAACGTTCACATTATTCTCGCCATTGTCGCCTTCGGAGGCACCTGGATCCACTGCGCCGCAGCGACACCTGCGTTGCCGCAGCTGCCATGGATCGTGGCCATTGTGGCGCTATGGATCGCTGACCGCGTGGCCCGAGCTCTCCGCCTCGTCATTAACAACTGGTCCAATCGAGGCTTCACTGACGCCCTCTGCGAGGCCCTGCCAGGCGATGTTACCCGAGTCACGGTCTATCTTCCCCGCTACGTCAGAATCAAGCCCGGAACACATGCCTACCTGCGATTCTCCGGCATCCTGGCGTGGGAAAGCCACCCTTTCTCCGTGGCTTGGGTTGATCACTACGCCACAAACGCCCTGCCGCAGGCCGAGAAGGAGCCGTTGACTGGCCTCGACAAGAGCAATGCCGGTACGGCCGTGTCCTTTATCATCGGCGCCCAAACCGGCATGACCCGAAAGCTTTTCGAGCGTGCCTGCCAGTCCAACAAAGGCATCCGGCTCCGCGCAGCCCTGGAGGGCCCCTACGCCGGCCACCATAACCTCGACTCCTACGGGCACGTGGTCCTCTTCGCTGGATCGACGGGCATCACGCATCAGATCTCGCATATCCGGGATCTGCTCGAGGGCTACAACGACAACAGGGTTGCCACGCGCCGCCTAACGCTCGTTTGGATCATCCGCAGCTACGAGTCGCTCGAGTGGGTCCGCCCCTTCATGGACGCCGTCCTACGCATCCCGAACCGGAAAGACATTCTCCGTATCCAGGTGTTTGTCACTCGGCCAGAGAACCCGCGCGATATCGTAAGCGCCAGCTCGACAGTTAAGATGTTCCCTGGCCGACCCAATGTCCCGCTGCTGCTTGCCAAGGAGGTGCAAGACCAGATTGGCGCCATGGTGGTGACGGTCTGCGGGCCTGGTGGCCTGGCAGACGACGTGCGAGGCGCCGTCCGTCGGCTGCAGGGCGATACCGTGATTGATTTCATCGAAGAGAGTTTCACGTGGTGATTTGCCAAGAACTGCGTCTTCAAAGATTTCTTTTTGTACATATTCAAAACTTGGGATGTGACTTGTGGTCTCTCCCCTATCCCGTCTCTTACCGGCTTTGACTCATCTTGGGACAGATTCGGCCCCAGAGGGAGGAGCGATGTTGGAGACGTGGGTTTGTATAAACATGCATAAGGGAGCCGACCGTGATCGGCTAGGTCGATGGTACTGCATAGCATTTCGAGCGAGAATGCCCTGGTAGAGGGGCAATGGAATAGAGATTTGCACACATGTTTCGCAATACTGTTTCATGGTGTGACTCGGCACGCGGGGGACGCACGCAAGACGTCGAGGACTGGCCAAAAAAGGCTTCTGATGAATCGCTACCATTGAGCCTGAATACGCCTGAGATGCTCCGTCTGTTTATGCCTGCTCCATGCAAAGCCCACACATTTCCGACACGATGGGAAAACCAAACAAGATGGTTAGCCGACACACTCCCCCAACACCAGACAGACACCGTCGTTGTGACGGCGCGGGCGCAAAGGTACGCCTTTGAAAGGCCGCACCACTGTCCGTTTGAAACGACCTTCGCTATGGTAGCCAAGCACTTGTGATATCTGACGCGGACTTGAACCAGCGCGCATGTGCATGGCGTGACACCAAGAGTCATACGCGAGGCATCATCGCGACGGCGGCGGCGCAGTCATGCTTGCAACACGCGGCAAGGCCGGCATGCACGCTTGCGTGGCAAGGAGGCCGCCAGGCACGAGCGCCGGGCCTCACGCACTTGCCGTTTCGCGCGCGTCGACGACAGCGTCAAGTCCGGCAGCCCACTCGGCCTGCTCGTCGGCCCAGTCGTCATCGAGGCCGCGGAACCCCTCCTCGACGAGCCATGCGCGGCCCTTTTCGCGGGGGTGGAGCACGTCGCAGGCCCTGCCGACGACGAGCAGGCCGGGGGGCCGGCTGCCCTCGGACTCGATGGCCTCGGCGACGTGGGCGAGGGTGGTGCGGATGATGCGCTGGTCGGGGCAGCTGGCGCGCTCGATGACGGCGCAGGGGGTGGATAGGGGCCAGAGGGCGCGCTTGGCGTCGGCGTCGGCGTCGGCGGCGGCGAGGGCCTCGAGAGACGGGGGGCTCTCGGTGGTGGTGTCTTGTGAGTCGGCGGCGGAGGGGGAGGAGGGGGAGATGTGCGTGGTGAGTTCGCGGACGAGCCCGACGATGCGGTGCCTGTCTCTTATACACACGTAGATGTGTATAAGAGACAGAGGAGGGGGAGATGTGCGTGGTGAGTTCGCGGACGAGCCCGACGATGCGGTGCAGGGCCATGAGGAAGACGACGGTGCGCGAGGCGACATACTCGGGGGGCGTCGGGGGCTTGCCCTTCTTGCCCGTGCCGGTGCAGATGAGCACCTGGTCGGCCACGTCGCGCTGCGTGACGGGCACGCCGGCGAAGAGCGGCGCGCTCAGGGCGCTCGTCACGCCGGGGAGGACGCGGACCCTGTCGCCGAGGCCCTTGCCCTTGAACCAGTCCACCTCCTCGCCGCCGCGGCCGTAGACGAAGGGGTCGCCCTGCTTCAGGCGCAGCACCGTCTTGCCCTCGCGCACGCCCTGCAGCGCGGCCTCGAGGAGCTCCTCCTGCGCGCGCTCCGCGTTGCCGGGGAACTTGCGGGCGATGTGCACGGGCGTCCGCCGCGGGATGAGGTCCAGGACCGGCGCGGGGACGAGCTTGTCGGCGAGGATGAGGTCGGCGCGGTTGATGGCGTCGAGGGTGGAGCGGGTGAGGAGCGAGGGGTGGCCGGGTCCGCTGCCGGCGAGGATGAGCTTGCCGACCCTCCGCTGCGTAGAAGCGTCATGGTGAGGCTTGCGCGAGGCGTCGGCACCGGGCCCGGTGTACGCGGCGAAGAGGCGATCGACGTCTTCGTCGGCGACGGCGGCGAGCTTCCTCAGGGGCCAGTACTCGCAGACCTGGCTGAGCCAGCGCATGCGGCGGTTGCGGACGTCCTCCTCGGCGACGAGGCGGTTGAAGAGGGCGCCCTGGTCGAGCGAGTCGTCGAGGTCGCCGAGGGCGAGGCAGTCGTCGTCCTGGATGCGGCGCCGGACCTCGCCGAGGCGTGCGCAGGCCGGGCCCAGCCCCTGGGGCAGCGAGGCGGCGATCTCGCGGCGGATGCGCGAGGCGAGCTTGCAGCCGCGGCCGTTGGTGGTGACGCCGACCTGCAGCGGGCCGTCGGCGTGGACGGACAGGAGCGTGAAGGTGCAGAGGTGCGGCGCGTCGACGACGTTGACGGGGATGCGGTTGCGGCGGCACAGCGCAGAGATGTGCTCGCTCAGGGGGTCGCGCGGGCCGCTCGTGACGAAGACGGCGTCGACGACGCGGCCGACGGCCTCGCGCCCGAGGCGGAACAGGTCGTCATCCTCAAACGCCTTCTTCTCCCACCGGAGCGACCTGTCGTCGATCTTGGCCTGCAGGCCGTAGTGCAGCTCCGCCGTCTCTGGGGCGAGCAGGATGGGCGTTGCGCCCGCGGCGAGGGACTGGTTGCAGCGGGAGGCGGCGAGGGGGTTTGTGCCGATGATGAGGTGGATGTTGTCTCGGCAGACGAGGCCTGCCAGCATGCAGTTGTTGCTGCTGTTGCTGTTGTGGTTGTTGGAGCTGGAGGTGTTGACGCCGGTGTTGGCGACGGAAGTCGCAGCGCTGGCCATGCTGAGCGTTGACAGCCAGGCGACGACCCTGGATGGACGCCTGTGCTGGGCCCCTGCAGCGGTCTGATCCCAGTGTAGTTGGGGGAGCCTGCCTGCCCCTGTCACTGTCGTTGTCGTCTTGCGCACGAGGCCGTCTCGACCACTTCAAAGCTGCTCCGGAATGTTGCAAAAGCGGCAAACGCAAACCAAAATTCAAGTCACAATTGTCTCTCGGGCCATCGGCCAGCCACCGGGGCGCGCCCCCCGACGTTTTTATTCAGACACACACACACTTGTCCGGCCGCGGTCTCTCACGATTGCGTCTTCGCGGGCGGCCCAGTTTTTTTTCTGCGCTGAACAATCCACGCCAAAGTTGACGCCATTCTTGGGATCCGGAGCCGCCCTGGAGCACGCCCCCAAGACGCAAGCCCCCCGTGGGGCCGTTATCGGACCAATGGCCGCGCTGGCATTATCGCAGAGCGCCCAGATTCGCGGTGCTGGCTTTCGGTTCGTCGGGGGGTTTTGCCAGTTTGCGCGGAGATGCACCTTTCGCCTGGGCTTATCGATCTTTGCCAAAGACTCGACTCGCTGATAGCAGCAGGCAGGCAGGTCTTATCGCCATGTATCGATAGAGTCGCCAAAGCATAGAACTGGTTGAGTATTATTTTGTTTGCTCCGGGGCCTCCTCGTGGTATGCAATTGCCCGGTTCTGGCTGTCAAGCGCAAGTCAAGTCAAGCGCTGGCGTCGGCAGTCGGGCGGGTGGCTGTCGGAGGGGACCCTTGCATGTCAACGCTGAGCCGCGATGGCATCATCCGGACTGCATGGGCGGCACGGCACACAAGTGCGAGCCGCTGCAGCCGCAAATTTTCTGTTCGAAATCCTATTTAGCTGCACCATGTGCAGCAGGGATGTTTCTGAAGAGAGATGGCTGGGGTCATGATTTCTGATGCAAAGATGCGCGCCTCCGCCAATTTGCTCTCGCTCTCAGAGTCCTTCGTGATCCTTGAACTAACACCCTCTCAAAATCCAATTCAACGTAAAGAACGAGGTGATCAGCCGTTGATCCGACGAAAAAAAGGTAGGACTTTGACCTGACAACAGATGGCCTCCGCCATTCTCTGCTGTCGAGGAAGCACGACTGCTGCATAAACTCTCCCGTCTTTTGCATATACCAAAACGGCGAGCTCTGAACCGAGTCCGAAGTGTTGCTTGCACGAGGGCAAGGCACCAAACCATACCTTGCTTCGTGACCTTGGCACATACAGTGATCGGCCGTGGCAGCTCGCCTGAGCAGCAATGAGTGACTTTGAGCAATCAGGATTGCATGTCCCTAGATTCATTTGTCCGGGTATCTATCTCCGCTTGTGTGAGAGCTGGTCGTCGTGTAGTGTACAAGGTATGATACAAGAGTCATCTCATCTTACACCGCTCACCGCTCGCCGTGACCCTTCCTTTTCGCCTCGTCCAACTCCGCCTCCTCTTCCTCGTCCATTTGCTTCTCAATCATGGCCTCTTCCCTCTCTTCCGCGGCAAAGAGCTCCTTCATGAGATCCTTCTTCTTGGCCTCCTTGCTCTTCGGCCGTCGGTCTCGCGGCGCGTTCTTTTCGGCCGCAGACATACGTCCGCCGTCCATGCTGATCTCAACCTTGCGCGGCTTCTTCCCATCCGCGGCTCGTTTGCCCCCATCGTCAACGCCGTTTCCAACCCGAACGTTGCGGAGCACGCGTGTCTTGGCCCCGAGAGCCCACAGGTCTCCCCATCGGGACTTTCTGGCGTCGTGGTAAGCCAGCTTGCTGAAGCTCTTGGGAACTGTCCACCGCTCAATCTTGCCCTCGGGAGTGCATAGGTCAAGGGTAACGTGGCCCTTCCGCTTCAACGGAGGCAGCACCATTCGCGGCAACGTCTGCATGTCGGGTTGAGCCTCGGAGGCCTCGTAGCCCAGCATTGCCCTTTCCGTTGCCTCCTTGCCGGTCAATGGACTGCTCTTGGACACGCCACGTCGGACTACCACGTAGCTGAATTCAACCTCGCCCTGGTTGTCTGCCGTGTTTCCTAACATTTTGCTGTAGAACGTCGGTCGGACAAATCGCTGGCTGAAATGGCAGTAGTCTTTCCGCCCCTTGCTCTTGCCCTGTTCCTTGTACATCGGGCATACCCCGTGGTTTGTGCAGGGTGCGACGATGTGCCCAGGTTCCAGTTCCCGGTGGAATGCAGGGTTGAACTCCTCCGGAGTGAGGGAGGGTTCCCCAGACTGTGGCAGCAGAAACTGCTTCAGGAGAGTATCTCGTACGTGCGCGACGGCTTCAAACCCACGAGGGTGAGCCTTTTCGATGACGATGAGGATGCCTCCATCTTTGTTGAGAAGGCTCCAGAGATTGTTGAGAATGGCCTGGCGGTAATGGTCCTGCTTCTCCTTGAGGAACAAGTGAGAGGCAATGATGACGTCGAACGACTTGCGCGGCTGGGGTTTGTGCCCGGCGTCAAGGTGCTCGCCGTGCATCTCGCCGGAGTGCTCATAGTCTGGCAGCCGCGGGAGAAAGGTCGTCTCATGAAGGAAGCCCTTGATGCGATTACGCAGCCGGTCGGACGAGGCAATGACCGTCTTCTTCCCAGGTGGTTGTGGCCCCTTGACCTCGCCCCTTTCTTTGAGTAGCTGCCATTCAGCGTTGATGATTTGTTCCCAGGCAACCAGGCCCGCACCACCGGCACCAGCATCGAGAACACTCAGGCCGCCATCCTTGCCCTGCTTCAGCCGGGACTGGATCCAGTCGCTCCCAACCCGTTTCCGCACTTCACGTAGGATAGACGCAACGGATGCGTACGCTGGAGGAAGGTACCCGGCCAGGAAAGCGTCTGCCTCGATTTCTGTCATGTGGCGCTGATCGGGCGGGAGCCCGACGCCGCCCATGCGACCATTCTTGAGGCCCTCTGGTGTCGCCGGGGACGTTGGGAGGCCTCGGCCGCCAAATGCAGCCTCAGCTGCTTGTTTGACGTGTTTGAGATGGGTTCTGTCGAGGAGTTCGCGGATTGGCTCCACGAATTCCTCGCGCGGAAGGGCAATCTCGACGGGGCTGCCGTGGAATCTCCCGTCCAGCGTATATCTGTGGAAGCGCCGAACTTCGCCAGGCTCCCGCTCACTGCCATCGTACTCTGCTTCAATCGGCCAGGTTGTCTCGTCTTCCTCGACCAGGTCTTGAGCGGCCGGCGCCTCGGCGTCTTCCCTCTCTTTAGGCTGCTTCTGGGCGGCTTCAAAGTCCTGGGCCAGCTTCTGCAGCGCGTCATGCTCGCGCTGATTCCTAGCTACAGCTTCAACGTATCCCGGTGGCTTCTGGATCAGGTCTTGTACGGAGGCGTCTCCTAAGGCTCCAAGAACTGGCGCGGCATCTGAGTCCGCAGTATCGGTCGGCCGGTCGATCTCGTATGTCACCTCCTCAAATTCTCCACCCTCAAGAGGTCGCAAAAGCACTCCCTCGTTGTCTGGACGCGGGGGTGCAGGCCCCATGTCTGCATGCGTTGGTATTCCAACATCCTCGGGGATGGTTTCGCGCAGAGGCGGACCGTACAGTCGCTCGTAGAGGGCGTATTCTTGGTCGTTGAGATAGTCCTTCGGGAGGGTGTCTCGAAATCGCTGCTTGGCTTCTCGAACTACTCTTTCGATCTCCTGAGCGGAAGTCGCATCGGCGGTCGACGAGGCATCTTGTTGTCGGCACAAAGAATTAGAGAATGGACGGGCGTTTATCGAGGTTCGCTTGAGCTCGCTGCTGCCGTGCAGTCGGGGATGCAAGGCATTTTGTGGGCGGAGAAGGTGAAGATGGCGACTTGACCTCGGGCAGGCCTGTCGTATGCCACTGAAGGACAGCATCGTCCTACAACATTATGCACACGAAAACGTGAAGCGTGCTGCAGACGAAGATGTTGCCGCGTCGGGTCTGAACTTTTTGCCATTCGCGTCATCACGTGACCGCAATACTATGTAATTGCCTGTCTGTGATAGGCAGGCTTCTGGAAGCCAATGGGACTCGCTCGAGGAAGGCAGTGCCGGTCTTGCCTGGCTGTCGACGACTACCGCTTTGGTTTTCACCTCACAGTTTCTCTTGCGGCCAACTCGGCCGAGTGTTCGCCCTGACTCGGTGGCTTCCTCAGGAACAGCGCACGGCCGTTCGCTTGGGATGTGTCGTGCGTCAAAGGCGAGGACCGACGGACGGTACAGCGGTGGCACCCACCTCGAAGCGGCTTAAAGGATCGGCGCGGCCCAGTGTAGCGGACCACCTGCCGAGCAACCTGCGCCATCCGGCACCTTCACGAAAGCTGCTTGGTGTCTCCAGCGACCCACGAATGCCACGGCGTGCTCAGGGACGTCTTCCCGTTTGGGGGCAAAGGTACGCCGGTGGCTGACGCTATCTAGGACAGGGGCGTTTGCCACGCCTGCAAAGCGACGGCGGTGCGGGCATGGATGGCATCGCCGCAGCCTGGGTGACACAATAGTCGTCGCCAGCCGCCCGAGCTGGGCCCATTGGCCGCCTCTTTTTTTGCGTCTGCCTTCTCGCTTGCGCTCACGGCGCTCTGCGAAATTATTTGCCGACCAAGCTTGGCCCGCCACGTTCGGTCCAGTTGCCCGGCAAACGCGCATGGCAAGTCGGCGTTCGGCTTACCCGCCTCTGATCCGGCAGGATGGCGCTGGGTCTGGTACCGAAGAACCACAGCTGCGGGTACGGAATATGGGCACGATGTCCACCGGGCGATCAGGGTGGTTGATAAATACCCCCGCGCTCGCAGCGTTGCACTTTGCCAGCATCAACTGCCAGCGTCGCACCGGTACACCACCACGCCTCGGTGGACTGTGAGACATCGAACAGCACTTATAGACGGTTCACTGGCGGTGTGAAACCGACTGCCTCAACACAATGCGTTTCTTCAAACTGCAGGCTGTGGCGGCCGTTGCCGCCTGGGCAATGACCGCTGCGTCCAGGAGCATCCTCGACGCTCGCGGTGTCGAGCAGGTCAAGGAGCTCGCCAAGCAGCTGTCGGCCAACGCCAAGATCTACTGGCCCGGCGACCCTGAGTTTGAAAAAGCGACCGTTCGCTGGTCCGCGCTGCAGGCTCCCAAGGTCAACGTCGTTGTCGTTCCGGCGACCGAGCAGGACGTCTCCGTGACGGTGAGAACTGACAGTCACCAGCGATACTTCAGCGGCTAATGGTGGCCTCAGGTGAAATTTGCCAACAAGATCAGCGTCCCCTTCCTCGCTTTCAATGGTGCCCATGGTTCGATCACCACCCTCGGCAAGATGCAGGGCGGCATCGAGATTTGGATGAACCAGCTCAGCAGCGTCAAGATCTCCAACGACGGCAAGACGGCCACCATCGGAGGTGGTACCATGTCTAAGAAGGTGACGGACGATCTCTGGGCTGCGGGCAAGCAGACGGTCACTGGCACTTGCGAGTGCGTCAGCCTCTTGGGTCCTGCCCTGGGCGGCGGCCACGGATGGCTCCAGGGTCATCACGGCCTGGTGGCCGACCAGTTCCAGTCCATGAACGTTGTGCTCGCCGACGGCACTCTGAAGACCATCGATTCCAAGTCGGATCTCTGGTGGGCCATGAAGGGCGCTGGTCATAACTTCGGTATCGTCACGTCGGTCACGACCAAGCTTTACGATATTCAGCACCGCGACTGGGCCATCGAGACGCTCATCTTCACGGGCGACAAGGTCGAGGCGGTGTACAAGGCTGCCAACGAGCACCTGCTCAAGAATGGAACTCAGCCCGTCGATGTCATCAACTGGTCTTACTGGCTCAACAACCCGGACGTGGATAAGGACAAGGTAGGCACACCAAACTTCTGGCGAGCGCTTCGCAGACTGACAGGTCCAGCCGGTCATCATTTTCTACATCATTCAGGAAGGCGTCAAGTCGGTTGATCCTGCTTACACCAAGCCCTTCCATGACATCGGCCCCGCTGTCACCGAACCCGCTTCCGGCACGTATACCGACCTCGCGGCCTGGACGGGCATCGCCCTCGACTCGCCCCCTTGCCAGAACGTAGGCCTCGCCAACCCGCGCTTCCCTATCTACCTCGAGACATACAACGTGGCCGCCCAAAAGAAGGTCTACGACATTTTCGCCGCGGCAACGCACCAGAACCCCGAGTTTGCCAACTCGCTCTTTATGTTTGAGGGCTACTCAGAGCAGGGCGTTCGTGCCATTCCCGATCAGTCTTCGGCCTTTGCGTTCCGCGGCGACAACCTCCTGGCAGCGCCTCTTATCACGTACCAGCCCGCAGGGGCGGATCTGGACCAGAAGGCCAAGACTCTGGGCGAGCAGCTGCGCTCGGTCCTCCAGCAAGCCAGCGGGCGCAAGGACCTGCACACGTACGTGAACTACGCGTACGGCAGCGAGACGAAGCAGCAGTGGTACGGCAGCGACAAATGGCGCCAGGACAAGCTGAGCGCACTGAAGAAGAAGTACGACCCCAACGGCCGATTCAGCTTCTATGCCCCGGTGGCCTAGGCGCCAGGTTAGACATATACATTCGCACGGCCTGTGACATTGCATTCAATAGCATAGCATTGACTGAATTTATCCCCTTGCTCACGAGAGCTCTTTTCTGCAGCCTGACCTCTACCACACGGCGCATTCTTGCTGTTCGTTCCATTGCATGTCTGGACGGGCCTTGCCCATCTCGGCCTTGCTTTGCAATACTAACATTTGTTGGGGTTTCAAATGGTCCGCTCCCGCTGTACTAGCAGTATGATCTATGTGCTGATCCTGGATCATCTAGGGCTTGGTCATGGTGAGCATTGCACGAGCCGCAGCCTCAACTTGCGCCGCTTCCGCCATGTCCTCCCGCTGCTGCTCCATCCAAGCAAAGAACTTGGAATACATGCCCATTTGATGTTGAGCACTTTTGCCGGGCTGCATTTGGAGAAATTGCGTCTGGCTGACTCTAGCCTTGTCGCGACGGCGTACGATGGTCTCGTACTGACGCTCGTGGTAGGCACGAAACTCGTCCCACATCTTCAGCCGTGCCTGCGCCTGTGTCTGTGTCTGCGCCAGGGCAGGATCGGTGGGCTGGCCGTGGCGCCGATGCCAGCGACGAAAGGTAAGCCAGTCGGCGTGCTGGGCGGCGAGGACGTGGTCGGTCGTGTTCAGATGAAGCCGCCAGAAGGTGATAATGTCATAGTATTCGCAAGGAAGAGTCTTCGGCAGTGGGACAGGGAGTTCGGGTGGATAACAAGGGGGACAGCCATCGGCAAGGAGGGCAGCTCGTGCATCGGCCTCGACGATTCGGCAGTCCCTGTCCCATTCCTCGTTCGCATTGGACTCGACAGGTGAAGTGCAGTCTCTAGGGCCATGTCAGTTATGAGATCTTTGCCGTGGAAGCAGCAGTGGGTGTATACCTGACGTTATCTGTGCGCTTCTTGTAGGACGGAGCTTCATGTTGCCGTTTGGCTCGGCGACTGCAAAGGATCAAACTATGAGCATCTTTCCGTTTGGTTTTCAGAGGTGCAAACGGAGCTTTCTCGTACGTGAGTTCTGCAATGATCTTGTTCTTCAGCTCGCAGTCGAGAGACTGGAACTCGGGGTCCGCCATGGTGCTGAACGGCCGTTAGCTTCGTACACTCCGAAACCTGCAGCGGCGGAGCGACTGACTGGTAGATGCCGTTGAATCCCCGGTCTGCCTTGCCGATATACTCGGCGACGATGGCCAGCAGGGGATCCATGATGACTCGGGTCGGGGGCAACGAGGCACGGCCGTGTTGAAGTTGGCGGGGAAGATTGGAACCTCGAAGGGGGG